TGGGGATCATTCTTAACCTTGTTGCTCTCAGTAGTTCCATCTATCAAATGGTACAATAGTAATTAACTTAAGCAGGTTTAAATTATTAAATGAACATTAAGTGCATTGAAAGCACTCGTGATAGTGCATGGTATATCATGAAGGCCCCACAGTGTTCACTAGTAGTAGCACTGTCACAGGTTATTGGTTGTCCTGGTGAACACACAAGATAGTGTCCACAAATAGAAATCATGCGTGATAAGAATTACATGCATCAAAACACATAAGTGCTTAGCACAAGACCTGGCATGTGGCAAATGCTCAATCTGCTTATTGTTGTTATTGTCATCTTAGAATGCCCTTGTGCCCTGCACAGATATAGACTGAGAAGTCACCAGAGGCTTTCCAGTCCTTCATCTAAGCCACCAGTCCCTGAGGAGAGAGCTCTGCTGTTCACTAGGGCTGTCACTCACTCCAGCACCAGCCACTCTTTAAACATGGAGCGGTTCCACTCACTCTGTAAGAGCCAAACATGAGAGAGAGAGAGAGAGAGAGAGAGAGAGAGAGAGAGAGAGAGAGAGAGAGAGAGAGAGAGAATAGTGTGTGCCACAGAATCAGTATTGTAGGCTGGGGATTGAGCTCGGTGGCTCAAGCGCTTGCCTGGTAAGTACAAGAACATGAGTTCGATCCCAGCACCAAAAAAAAAAAAAAAAAAAAAAAAAAAAAGAAAGAAAGAAAATAAAAGAAAACAGTTGTCAACTCAGAATCAGTATCATAAGGTCATATTTTTATATAACAATCAATCCACCCTTCACTTTGGTTTCATGGGTCACTAACAGTAACTCATGTGACTCCATTAAAACAAAATCCATTCCACTTAAAAGAATGCAGGAAAATGATAAAATGAAACCAAGGCCACAGTGCAAACACCTAAGGAATGGACACTCCTCGGCACGATCTTTGGTGACTCTCGGGCAGACTGGAGTCTCCTGACAGAACACAGAACCACATGCGAATTTTTTTAAAAATTTACTTATTTTTGTCTTTTTGAGACAGGGTCTTGCTATGCAGTTCAAGCTGGCCTTGAACTCACTTTATAACCCAGGCTGGTCTTGAACTTGCAATCATCCTCCTGCTTCAGCCTCCCAAGTTCTGGGATTACGGGTGTGTGCCACCATACCTGGCCACACACGAATTCTTACCCCAAAAAAGAAAACAAAAGCAAAAACAAACAAGCCTCTATCTGTCAATTTGCAAGATTTACCTAATTATAGAAAATGGAAAGAATAAAGAAAAGATCGAATGGCATCAAACAGGTCCAGTCAATAAAATTCCAACTGTAGGAAATTCTACAGGACTCATGACCTGGTTTCCTTAAAGAAATCACAAGAGAAAAATAAAGATGCGGAGAGAATCTTCAGGATGAAAAGAGACTTAAAAGATTTATCAGTCAACTTCATTATATGGCTTTATTTGAATGTTTGATAAAACAAACTGGAAATAAAGGTATTTTATACTTGTGAGACAATTAGGAGTTTAAATACTGACTAGATATTCAATAATATTAAGGAACTGTTCAATGGTTTAGTGGTAATGTTAAAAAAAGAAGTTCTTATCTTTGAACTGAGAAATGTATTGAAATATTTATGGCTGGATTGATGCAATATCTGGGATAAATTTTAAAATCAAGCAGAAGGAGGGATAAGGAGAGAGCAGTGGAATGGGTCAGGCTGGCCAGATTGGGGGTGCTGGGGATACACGAGTTCGTCACACTATTCTAATCTACTTCCGCTATTCTAATCCAATTCTCCATAATAAAACGTTCACAGAGAAAGACAGCCCGTACAGTTCAGTTTTGACCACCTGAGATGAACTCTGCCTTCTGCAGCTCCCAGATCCAGCGTGCTGGAGTTTGTAATTCTCAGTTCTGGCCTGGTTTCTGAGTCGGTTGCTGGGAGAAAAGGTGAGCCTTGCCTCCACTCAAGAAGTAAGCGTCCTTCCTCAGGACAGAAGCCCCAGCCTCCGACCTGGCAGAACTGGAGCCTAGAAAATAATTGTAACCAGACAGGTAGAATTCTCTGACGTCCAAGAAAATCGAATCTAAATACTTAGATCAGTTAACAGCTCTATTTCAGAAAGTGATTTAAAATATTGCAAAAAAAAAAGTTATTTTAAATATAATCCGACTTACAAAAGTTGACAACTCTGTAAGATTGTATCCAATGCGTAAGCCTAGAGATAGCTGACTGGCCCTTAAGGTTTTCAGGTGCTGTTAACACTTCACTTGAAGATCTGACCAACACCAGACCCCAAGGGAGTAGAAGCAACGACAAACTCCTATCACCTTCTGGAGCTTCTGAAGCTGACTCCTGGATTTTCACCTGCCCACCCTCCTTCTCTCACCTTTGTGGTGCAACAGACGGCACCAGAGTACTCCGTCCATTCCCAGAAAAATTTATGCCGCCACGCAAGATTTCCTGTGTAGACGGGTGCCCCTGGAGTGGCTGTGCCCAATCCAGATGGCAGGGCTGTCTCCCTCGTTTGTACCTCCCTTGGACAGAAACCCACAGGAGCCCTTGGGGCCACCCAGCCATGCAACTGGACACATACACTTTGTAAGCACTGGTTTCCAACAGATAAATGTAATCAAGGTTTATATGCTCAGAGAAGGCAACAGGATGGGATTGTTTCACTTGAAAGATCAGAAGAAAATTGTAACTAATGTTGTGGAAAATTACTTTGATATTGCTTTCTTGGTACCGAATCACAATTAGGTTGCTGTGAGAAGTACAGGGAAAGAATAAATGAATAGTAACAAATCAACACAAACAGCTTGTGTCAGGAGCACTTTGCTCAGGGAAAGTAACGTAAGCATTACTTAAAGTTTTATGACTATGTTTGGTGTGATTTACATAGAACGTCAAGGTTGCCCATCCCAAGGCATGTGGTGAGGGTGGCCCACTAGCTTTTCACGACGGAAGCACATGGCTCAAGATCCATGCGTGCTGTTCATCTGGACTTAGTAGTTGTGGGGATGCTTGTCTTTGCTTAGTGCCATCCTACACACACTGTCAGCTTGAGGCTCTGATCGCCTCTCTGAGGACATCAGGAACGGCTATTGTGTGGGCCTCCACCCACCTGTACCCACACATCTGGCACTGTACAAGCTGACGTGAGAAGCTCTCCCTGCAAAAGCAAGTCCTCTGCTTTGCCACCTGGTTGAAGCATGACAAGGCACATATTGTGGCCACCATCCCACTATCCATCCCAAGGCTAGACCACCTGTCCCTGAAGCACATCCCTGATGGGCCCACACACCTTCCTTCAAGGGTGACTTCTCTCCCAGGCTGTTGCCCCACCAAATTCCCCAAAGAGGACACCTGAATTCTCTGTCCATGTGTGCACCTGCAACCAAACACACCAGAGGCCACTCTAAGGATGCAGGATGCTCTATTCCAAGCAGCTCTTGAGCACCCTTGTCCTGAGTCTGCTCTGTACAGGTGACACATAGCCACAGGAACCAATCCTCATTCTGCCCTGCTGGTGCTGTCCTGTGGGACTGTGCAGGGCTGACACAGTATGATCCGCTATTTTAGGGCTCCTGACAGGCTACAAAGTCCCCAGAAGAGCCGGCTTCGTCACACATTCTTGCTTCCTCACAAGCCAGGATGCAGCTCAACTTTCTCAACAGAGCCAGGGGCGAGGATCAAGCAGGCTGTGTGTCAGGACTGGGCTCACCTGCTAGGCACACAGCCATGGCTGCTTCTTACTGATTCTCTCATGAAAGGCGTCACTCTTGGGCTTCCCACAGGTGGGGTCCCCAGAAGCAGTTTCCAGACCCAGGGGCACTCTGACCTCCTTTTGGTTTTTTTCTCCCTCTCCTGCTGCTTACATCCTTTAGTCTTTGCTTGGGGCCACATCTCATGGGTTATCTCCCCCGTTTGCTGAAGCAAAACAATTCAGGCCTGAGGACTGCAGTGAAAGGTGCAGCTCTGGTCTGAGAGCCTGAGCCAGGACAGCTGAGGATGGGACTGGAAAGGATGCCATGGGCCTGGTACCCTTCATACAAGAGCATGAGAGCAGGTGCTCCTAGGCCATGCACCCTCATCCCCTGCTACGGGTTGTTGCAGGTAGCAACCATCTGCCTAAGCACTCCCTTAAGTGTCTTTGGTTCTGTCCCTGGCTCAGAGCACTGAGCAAGTAAGTGCATGAATGTGTGTGTGTCCTTTAGGAAGAATGCTATTTGTGGGGTGCAAGTGTATCCACATCCTAGGGCATGTGGGCTGTGGAGGGGTTTTTAGGGATCCTCCTCTTGAAAAAAGTCACTGCGGAAACAGACTTTGCTTGGGCTGGAAACCCTGCTTTCCTCTCACTCTAGAGCAGAACAACTTTTGGCCCTGCCCCATGCCTATGACCTCCAGCCCTGCTGGGTCCAGCAGCAGAGGCCTTGCATGGCTCCCTTTTCCATTCTGTCTGCCCAAGATACCAGAACCACCTTCCTATTCTCACCCCGAAGCCATGCCACCTGTCCCCACTAGATCTGGGTGACTTAAGGAGGATGCTCTTCTCCAGTGAGTCTCAAGGAACAGAGGGAATGGGAGGCAGCAGGACTGAATCTTGGCCTCAGAAAGCCAGGAGGTGCCCGAGCCATTCTTCTCAAGCCAGAGAAGCCAGACTCAAAGGCCTCCTAGGGTTGTGCAGGGAAACCAAATCTCATGTGGGAGTTGTGGTTTATATGTTCGCTCTCTAATGTCCTGGTATAGAAAAATCCCCAAGCGGTGGCAGAAACTCCTTAAATCTTCACCAAAGGCAACAAGGGATAAAATCTCACCAAGTGCAGCCAGAGGAGGATATGGAGGCCAGAGGCCTGAGGCTGACATCAGACAGAATATTCTCACATTGACACTGACACCTCTGGACGGAGGCCGCTCCTCTGCCTGCTGCAGCTCAGAACATCAGAGAAGCCATGGAGGCCTGTGCCTCTGGCAGGAAAGCAGTGGGTGGTGACAGCAGTAGCTCACCTGGCATGTGTTGGGGCGCGAGCTCTGTGGGGTCCTGCAGACTGATAAAGAGGAGGAGGCCTGCAGCTCCAAACAGCAGGATGGATGAAAACATGCAAGCCAGCCGCATTGTTCCAGGTCGCAGGGTCATCCAGGGTGTACTCCAAAGTTACCTCTCTGGTGTGAGAAATGCGTTCTTCCCTCATTGTCCACACCAGGCATCCATCAGGGTGCAAGCTACAGGGAAGAGAGGAAAAAGAATCATTTCCAAACTGTAGGGTACCCAGATACAGGCCCTCGCAGTAGCCAAGTATAATGCCTTGGTTCCTCACCTCACCCTGGGGACTACTCAGATGCACACCCTTGTGCCTTTCAAGCCCAGGGAGGCTGGAGGAAGTCCTGTTGCCACCCGTGGCCAGGACACTGGCTTCCTGCCAGGATCTCCTGTATCTGCTCTCCCAGCAAAATCAAGCATAGACATTTTCTGGTAGCTGCCAGAAGTCACCTAAGATCTTAATTGGTGACCACTGGACACCCCGTGGCTCCCTGAGCCTCCAAAGGAGCATGTGTGTTCCTTGTGCAGAGGTCTAGGTAGAGGCGCAAATACAGGTCCTGGCAACTAACTGGTCAGGTAGGCAGATCTGCCTCCACCCTGGCTCCATTGTACACGATGCTGGGAACAGAGGGCTTTGAGAAAGAAAGAGTCTTCCAGACCTAGAGGATGTTCAAGAGCAGACCAATTCCTCCCCATATCAGGCAGACTTGTTCTCACTAACATACTGATAGATGGGCTGGAGGGGTTCAAGTCCCACTGGAGAGACACAGGTGGGGCAGAACTTCTGGCCAGACTTTGGTAGTTCCAGTGCTTGAGACCCTTGACCCAGGCAGTCAGACCTGCAGTTTTTAGATACAAAGGTTCAGAGGCTAAGCACTAACATCCCCTGTCTTTACATGCTGTTTTGAACCCTGCAGACCCAGAGCATGTCCATGTGATTTGTCCCTCACCCTGAAGGGCAGAAGAAATGCCCAATACCAACTGGAGATTCCCACCTGGGCCATGCCCACGACAGGGGCATCTAAAGGCCATTTGCCCACAGGAGGGGTGTCAGTTCCTGCAGTGGGTGGGATGGGTGCTGAGGAGCAGGCTATGCAGGCAGCAGGTATCTCAGTGACCTCCACTTTGAAGCAAGGTCCCTCTGTGCCTTGACCTTCACCTGGCCCCACTGCCCTAAACCTAAGGATATCACCTCCTTTCCACTCCCTACTCCCACCTGCACACAGGGAAATGCCCAAGGGATGCCAAGGCTACAGTAGCCTCCTAGATTTCAGCTAGGTGCTGTCTGGTCCCAGGCCAGATGTATTGCTCAGTGAAAGACATTTTCCTGCCTACGCCCTGAGATACCAGAGAAGCAGCCCCCACCATGGTCTCTCTGCGCCCACCTTGTAGAGCATGAGGTGGAAAGAAAGCAATGAAAAGAGGGCTATCCTCCCTCCCTCGCCCAGGAAAGAATTCCCAAGAACTATATTGCTTCTCAGAAGAGCTCAGGGGCTGCGGAGTATAATCTTCAGGTTTGGGTTTCTCCCCTCTGAAGTCTCTGTAATTATTTTTTCACTCAGTTAACTTTAATTAACCTGCCTCGGGCCTCTATGCGCCTGGTGCTGGGCTCCCTGGACTGTGCCAAGTAGGTGGTTCCCACGACCTCCCAGCTTTTATGTTTGGAAGGCAGCACTGAGCTGGGCTCATTTTGTAATCTGTAGCTGGCTCAAGGTTTCAGGTGGGTCCTGACCTCAGTGCTGTGCCTCTGCCCCTGCTCCAAGGCTGCTATTTCCTGCTATCAACCAGGGCTACGTCTGCCCTGCTTATAGTGGGTGAAAAAGGACCACTATGTGTTCCCAAAAGCTCAGACTGGGAACCCCTCAATTGGAAGGAGGGTTTCACACTCTGTAGCTTCCCTGGATGACACTGTCCTGTGGATCTGATTCATTGTCCTGCAAGATACAAGTGAATAGTGCAGGTTCAAGCCTCATTAAAGGACAAGGCTAGGCTCAATGCTGGTGACAGCATCCGCTGACACTCTACAGTCCCTGGAACTCCCCCCTTGATGATGACAGGCATGGCATGCAGTGTCCCATACCCACCAGGATCAGCTGTTAACTTAGCTCCTGGGGCAGTAAACGCAACTACAGAGGGGTTGCTGCTCTCTCCCATCTTTACTCAACACCCCTCAAGTAGCTGGCATGGCCTTTTGGGATGCCCAGGCAGAGCTGAAAAGAAGTTACAAGAATGGAAATGACATTACAAACCGATGCAGTGGAAGCCAAATTCTCAGACAGGGTGCAGAGGAGCAGTTGAAACTCTCTCTCTCTCTCTCTCTCTCTCTCTCTCTGTCTCTGTCTCTGTCTCTGTCTCTGTCTCTGTCTCTGTCTGTCTGTCTGTCTCTCTCTCTCTTTTTCATACACACACACACTCCAGCCATAGATTGGAGCAGGTGGATGTGCATTAACACACATACACACCTCTGCTGCAAACATAACTGAGGATCCCTAGAAGGCCCCCATGCGCAGATCTGGCACACTTTCTGCAGCCCCAACAGCTTCCTGAGTCAGAAGCCAATTTAATCAAAGGTGGGTGGCCTCTGACGTCAAGATACTTTGTAAGAAGGGAGACCAGAATGGAAAGAGGAAGGAGAGAGGGAAGGATGTTACAGCAAGCACGCAGAGCTGCCAATGGCCAAGAATATATCCTTCAATATCAGCTTAAAGATATTTAATAAACAAAGATGGCTCAGAAACCAACTGATTATCATCTTGTTTGTTTAGTACCACAGATACGGTTTGTTTAGTGCTGGTACTACAGATATGGCTACAGAAAGCTGGTTGGTCCTCTCACCTTCCTAATCTGTCACATTGTCATCACTTGCCAGAAGAGACTTCCCTTGTCAGTGACTAAATGTCCTGCAGCCACGAACTGCCCTAGCTTTTTGAATACTGCACAAGGGAGGCCTGCACCTTCATGGTTGCAGGAGAATGGGCTCGGTGCATTTGTCATTGCCAAGACTCTCAGGACAACAGCACCCTGCCCAGAGAAGTGGTGTTAGAGTGGCTCCAGGCTTCCCCATTCAGCCCCTCAGGTTCCAGCCTCAGCCTTTTGCTCCCATGTGAGCAACTCCCAGCTCCATGCACAGAGGAATCTAAAGGTCAGTCCTTCTCCTAACCTGCTCTCAGTCTGGCTGGGTCTTTCATGTCCAGAAAGGGCCCGACATCCTGCATACTACAGAATCCTCCTTCTTCCAAAGTGGGGAGAGGACAGGCAGTTCCCAGCAGATAAGAGATGTATACTACAAAAGGGATTCACCTCTGATCCCCATTGTTTCCTGCGGGTCCTTTTCTTTAGTCTTTTTTTTTTTTTTTTTTTTTTTTAATTTAAGAGGAAAAAGAGAAAAACACAAAACAAAACTTTAGTCTTAAGGCATTTTCAAGATAGTGGGGAGATGCCGTTCCAAAGCCCATGTATCTCCTCCTTCAAGTCCAGCTGCTGTCTGGAGAATGATGTTACAATCTGATACAGGCTGGATCCTGGCTTCCCTGGAGCCCCAGTAACATTCACAGATCTCAGCTCCCATGTGGGACTGCCCTGCACTCACCAACCAGAGCACCACACAGTGGTAGGTGCAGTCTCTCCTCCTCTCCCTACCAACAGCAACATGAAACTCAAATTACTGGGAGCAGAAGCGCGGTGGGGGGTAGGGTGGACAAGAATAACACAGGGCTCTGTTCAGTTTCTAGGTGTTCCCGCTCTTCTCAAAATTCCTAGTCCTCCCAGGAGCTTCTCTCTCTGAGGCCAGAATGGTGTCACCAGTTTTGACTTTAAGGAACAAAAAGAAGAAGAAGAAGATCCAATTAATCTTGTAAACACATCCTAGGGGATAGGGCAGAGCCAAAGATTCCTCCCATTTCCTTATTTATTTGATTTAAAATTTTGCCTCTGAAGAAGCAAATTGACTTCAGGGCAAGAGAGGACTTGGGAATTCAGCCAAAACACATGCACCTCCAGTGGTGGCGGCCGAATGCATGGATGCCTCCAAGGACACAGTTGGCTATGGCTGTTCCCAGACCTGGACACTCACTCCGATCACCCAAAGAACCCTCTTGTTGTGGCGACCCACCCACCACATGCCTGCTCCAAGCAGCTGGGTACACCCACATGGTCAGCAGACCTTGGGCCCAGGAAAGTTCTCTCTCTGTCTCCTCCTGCATGGGCAGGAGCTAACAATGACGTCCCTCCCAGCTGAGGGCTCCAGGAGAAGCTGCTCCTCGGGAGAGAGGCTGCTATGGCAACTTGAGGAGAATAGAGCCAGGCGCTGCTGTCACCTTGAATCCGGCACTGTGCCTTCTGCCACGGTGGTAGAGGGCTCTTGGAGCCCAGTTCTCTCCCTGCTGCAGCTGGGCACTGGAGGCTGACCCCGGTTACTCTCCTCAGCCTGCTGGCCTTGGGAACTCATCTGCTGCTTGCCGATCAGAGCACACAGTCCAGTCCCCAGAGAACACTACTCCCATCTGTTTTGTCAGACTAGTTCTTCCATGTGCTGTTTGTGCTTACTTCCGAGATAGGGCTTTTCTCGATTTCAGCTCATGAAAATCCTGCAGCTAATTAAACTGCTCTAATGGTAGTGGTGGCGGCGGCAGCGAACTCTGGGACGTGTCCCCCCAGTTTTTATGCATAGGCATAAAGTTGCAGTGTGCTCCGATGGCTGGGAGTGCTCAGATTCTCAGGCAGGGCTGAAGACTCAGAATTGCTCTCCAGATAGGCACAGGGCTGGGTCGCTGGCCTGGGTCCCGAAAGCCCCAGGGCCCCACCACTGGGCCAAGCAAGACTGCAAGGCTGCACCCTACTCCTTAGGCATGGTGATTTGCTCACCATCTTCTCACTGCCTGTTACAAAGCAAGGCCCCTGCTATCCTCCTATGCCTTCCAAGGGGCAGATAAAGGGCTTAGCTGGAGATCAAGGAAAAGCTTAGTTTCAAACACCCGCCACAGCTTGTCCCTACAGTCCTGGTAGGAACAGCCTGGTCTCCCACCGACTTGCAAACACAGAGACACAGTGACAGGGACCCGAGAACCACACACCCTGGATTGCTGCTAACAGTAGAGTCAAACCATGGGCACCATCCCTGCAAGTACAGACAGTGAGTCCATCCTCCCCTTGATCTGGACAGTCTGGAATGCCCACTCAGTAC